TCCTAAACCCTAAAGAGGTATGGAGACCAAATTCTATCGAAGACAAAAATGTATACATGTATCTGACAAGTTCCTTACCCTATATGAATCTACTATGCATTTAGTTTTATTCGTAAAGGTATAAGTACAGGTAACAAGTTGAAGCAAACAAACGAACAAACAATGGCACCTTCTGCAGCTGCAATCCTTTCCCTGACTGAAGGACAAAGTGATCTTCAACCACTGTAGGGTTCCAGCTCTCTGGAACATAACGAGCCCGTCATGACACACATTCTTGAGACCAAATTCTACATAAGGCCAAAAGGTGATCCGATGTCTGTAGGTTTGACGAATGTACATCCTAACCATTTGTTTCGCCGTCAAAGGTTAGGCCAAGTTCCACGAAAGGCCAAGAGGTTGGCAGATGTTTGGCGATTGACCAATCTTTGATGAATTTATGTTCTAAACACTTGTCTCTAACACTCTCTCTGTTCTTGTCAAGAGGTCTCAATCCCGGGATCCCAGTCGGATTTCGATACCTAGAAATAACGGGACTAACGTATTTTAATTACAAAACCTATATTTTTAGGTTTTTTTCTATTATTTATTTCATTTGTTTATTTTATTGGTGTGACGATGATAGAACTATTTATTTCCTTGCTTATTGTTTATGCATATAAGTTCACACTATAATTTTCCTATTTATTTAATGCCCGTTAGTTTGTATTGATAATCTGTTCATCTCTTAACTGTCGTCACCTGTTATATGATCTTGTAATTACCGTCATTAATCTGATGGCAGTAGGCAATACAAATTAAATGTCAATAAAAGACTATAAAAGTTTAAAAATTTTTGCAAGTTTCTCAATTAGCTTTTGCTTTACTGTCATACAGTTGACCTAAAGCATGAATCAACCCACTTATTTACTTGATAGGCATGCCTTTGCTTGTACAGTTACCTACGATAAAATATAGAGATATTTTTTTTTTAACAATGTAATTCTATTTTTATAGCAAACATATTTGTATGTCCAAGTGGAATAAAATATGAGCACAGCCATATTGGTACATACTAGTAAATAAATGTCCTCGTTCTAGGTGTGTTCATACTATTTACATTTATTACCCTACTCGAATTTATGATAATTTATTTTTGTAAAAAAATACAACCGACTTCAAACGTTCTAAAAAGAATGAAATAATTTCAATAAAGTAAACTTTTGTATGAGTCAAGCTCACGTAGTTTAAGTCGGCGCTATGACGATTTTTGATACAAAATTGAAAGAGGATCTCTATATTGCAGGTGACTATCTATATAACTAAAGGTGTTAATCTGCATGTCTTTTTCATAGTTATGCGTTGGGTGTTATTTTAATACAGTAACCAAAGATCGGCGTTATATTGGTATTAACAGGTTACTTTTTCGATCTTAGTTACTTTTTTCATCTCAGAATTTATGACACAATACGTAAAACATAAAATCAATATTACCAATAATTAAGGTATTTAATTATCTAATATTTACATTATTTTAATTGATTTTAAAACCTTTCACAGGAATCAATAACAGTTTCAACGCTTTTCTTTTGCCAAACATAACAAAAATATGTATCTTACATATATAAAACTATGTAGGTGCATTCTATCATGCCCAGTAATTTAAAACTAATTTATATTTTAAATGGAACCTCTTAACCTTAACGTCTAAGACAAGACGGTTTTGATTTGATTGAATCATGCTTAATTGGGTTTGTGCAATGACTTCTTCACACCAAGATTTCCCTTAGGCTTCCTTCTTATTACTTATTTAAGGAGTGGGTTTCTTATTCATCTTTAAATAACACTATTTCTCAGTGATTTTTTTGTTCCGTTTTTTTTATTAATTTGTTATGTATTTCAATGAGGAAATGCTTATAAAGGGAGCTTTACTATTACCTTAAACAATCGTGAATTGATTTAGCCCTATAATCTAAATCGAACGTAAGTATCTTGTGTGTAGATACATGGGAGAGATGGACAGATGTTGGCTGGATACCAGCTGTTGATGAATGTACGGCATTACATCCAAGTAACCTCCCTATCTGGGACACAGGAGCCAAAACACCGCCAAGGCCTTGTTAGAATACGTACCTTATTGACCGGTGCCTATTTGTCAAGTTTTAAAACTATTGACAAACTTGTGAAAAATTCAAAATTCCAAGGAATAGGAAGTGGGCCACAGAATGATGCATCTAACACCCTAAATATGTTTGTAATTTGTATCTTAAATATTTTGAAGCATTAAATTCCATGTTGATGGCCCCTGGATTACTTTATATGACTATAATAATGGTACAATACCTCGTATTTACGGCGAAACATGTAGGTTGCTAACCTCAATCATCATTTGGACTACTTGACGAGGTGTTGTACCATTATTATAGTCATTTTGAAGCAGTTAGGGGTGATGTGGTTGAACAGCTCAAAAACGATGAAGAAGTCACACATTTACACTCCTTACTAGTTTATACACTACTACTACTACTACTACTAGTTTTACTTACTAGGTTTTTTAACTTACTAGTTGATTATATGTTTATTTGTATTTTTGAGTCCGCTATTCTGATGGTTTATTTATTACACTATACATTGTCAGTGCAAGATGCTGAGTTTTTAGGGTTAACTGGGGAGCTGTAATTTATTGGTAGTACTAATAATACTAATGTCGGTGTAAACTGTAGAAGTGAAGCTGGCGATAGTGCCTCTGATAACTAGATAGCAGTTAGTGTTAACTGATTCCATCTATCATAGAACTGGTACAATACCTCGTTCACCTATCCCATCGTCAAAGGACTCACCACGCGTGCACAGAGTATTGAAGGCTTAACATTGTATTGTCAGACGTTGATTAGCCGATGCTTTGACGTCACTAAGTCACATGGTGTCATTATTCAATGCCACATCGTGTATTCTGTTTTGTTGTCCGAATCATTTTTTGCAAAATTATTTATAGTAAGGCAAATCCTTTAATGGTGGAGTTGTATTAAGTTTTCATGCGGCAAGTGAGTTACAACTAGGTGGAGTTTCATGTGGAATAGGGCCAGTTTTTAAATAATGAGCTGGCAAAAGTAAAACTATTAAAATAAGTTTAATCTCGGGTTAAACAATGGTATTTCTTTCGCATCCTTAAATATATAGCTAGTTTAAGCAGTTGAGAAAACGTCTAGTCAAAACATTTATCTCCTAATCTTCAAGGTACCTAGTTTTGTTGACATCCAGCAAGTTAAATTAACTAAAATATATATCTATCTGGCTATAGCTTTGTAACACGTTCTCGATAGCCTTTGTTATGTGTACCTACAGTAAGTATCTAGGTTAATTTGTAAACACCGCAAAAATTAGAACCACCAAACGGAGACAAGTTACAAACAGCAAACAGTTACACAGCTAGGAATCAAATATCTATAGTATGTATACGACAAAATCTGGATCCTAGGATATTCATATACCATATATACTTTTGTTCTAATATACTTTTAGATAGTGTTCTTTGTAAAATATTTTGCACTGCTACTAATATTTACATGCGATATCTACATTACTCAAATATTATACTGTCGATAATAATTGAGAATTGGTTCATTAGTATAGGTCCAAACATACGGCACATAATTATAGATTCTAAAATGTTTCATTTCCCATAATACAGACAGAGTTACCAGTATAGAAGGGCTGGTTTCCTCGGGCTACGGCACGTGACTCGCATATTGAATATTGTACACCAACAACTGTTCTGCTTGCGAACCTTAATGTATTCGGTAATCCTAATTAGTCATATTAAATTCGGGTATTGTTTAACAACTGTGTGGTTTCCCAGTATACCTTCCAATAGTTCTCATTCCAATATTTTTTGTTGATGGTTAACATCTCAAACATCATATTATTAATTCTGATAGCCCCTGGACTAAGAATAATAGCTTTATAGGCTTACCTTAGTCCTAAATTATGTCTTATTTCAACTAATGTTCAAAGCTGACATGTTTCGTTGCACTGCAACATCGTCGGAGCTTTACGTCAAAAACATCAAATAATTTAAGCATTAAAGGCAGTCTACCGACAACCGCTGCCGTGCCGTGTCATGATAGCGCTATCGTGTTATTTAGTGTTTAAATGTTCCGTGTCCCGTGTTGTATTTTATTCTTAAATCATTTGATGTTTTTGACGTAAAGCTCCGACGATGTTGCAGCGCAACGAAACATGTCAGCTTTGAACATTAGTTCAAATAAGACATAATTTTGGACTACTGACAGGGAGGTAAGCCTATAAAGTCTCAAACATCATTGATAGGCCCACTACCGCTTACTTTTTCGTAGTATAGCTTGCAACATTTTCAAATATTTCTAACATTTTATGTAACAATAATTTGACTTATTACTCAAAATTGTTTTTGCACAAAAAACAGTGACTCGGGTATCTTTAGAAAACAAAGTAAGTGTTCGCAGTTGTTCAATCACTAAAGTTTTCGCGTAAAATGGAAAATATTTGGTTCGTTTACAAGTTTCACTGTCAATTTTAATGGTTGTAAATCACGCAAATGGGAAAAGTTTAATGGAGAAAGAACGAGGAGCGCGTTCACATAGGAATATCAACGAATGAAGAAAATGCAGCTTGAATTATAATGACAGAAATGTCACCTTCGTTTGTTATAAAATGAAAATGTGAGTAAATAATAAAACAATGAATGGCACTGAAATGTTCATCCTATTACAGAATGTATGTGCATGATTGTATTTGAGAAAAATCATTATCGAATTTACATATTCATGATCTGATTGCCTATAAAAAAAACTCCTAATTTTCTCTGTTGTGTAATAATTTAAATTACACTAAAGAACACAGTCTCTCAAATTCGTAACAAAAAAACATAATTTAATTTTGTTTGTAAATATCAAAGATTTCCTCTAAGTATTACTATAAATTATAAAACGCACATTACTAACATTATTGTTATATTTTAAATTTGTAATATTTTTCTGTTGCAGGGATTATTACTACGACAGGTGAGTACAGAGTCGAAATTCCTTGCATGAATGTGTACTTATAAGGTTTCAGATGGCAATCTGCGTGTTTTTTATTTATTTTTTTATTATTTATCAATTTGCAGATTAAAAAAGATCAATCTTGTAAAACCCTTGAATATCTTACTGCGATATTTTCCATAAAGATAACAGGCGTCATTCGTTAGTGTTGATTCGAGTGTTTTAGTAAGTCGATTTACTGCATGCATTTTCTTTCAAAAATCAATCTGACAAAAATATTATTTAATTTGTTTTTAAGAGAAAAATTTCTGTTTACTTTTGTACCAAACTGTGTTTAAAACAAAGTTAACAAATATTCACTATTAACTTTGCGAACATTACAAAAAAGAAAAATTTGACCTTCAAAAATAGTATAACTATTGTTTCCAAACGATAAATTCCTCAAATTCGGGGATGCATTTTTTGCGATCTCGCTCCTCAGTTATTTAAATTGGAACAGGCATTTAATTGTTGCAGTTGTAAACCTCAATTAAGACATTCCCTCAGGTTACGTATCTAAGTTAGCCGGGTTTATCACTAGAGCGCGCCACATTCTTGAGATTAAGCCTGAGATTGAGCTTGAGGGCGCGAAACAGCTGATGGGTGTGGAGGGTGGGATGTTGCCACTCAATTACCCGCCAAAATGTCGACACGTCACAGACACTCCCGCCGTTTTGTACACATTAGTCTCGATATGAAACGCCCCATTGAACTACGGTAACGAAATATATTTTAAACATTGATTTAAACTGTCAGATACGTCCATGAAACTTGAAACCGAGCCTAATGATTTACATTATTCTTAAGATAATTTTGGGGAGGTAATATAATAAGTTAAGAAAACATTTGTTCTCTTATTGGGTTTGAATACCTTTGATGGTTCACAGTATGAACAAGCTGCGTAAATACAAACAATATCAATATACTAAATGCAAACATTGCAGTAGGGTGGACCTTTAATAGTGATTTTCTTTATAACCCGTTACAACCACGTCTAGTGAGTAAGTTTAATAGTTTGTTTCAAAATATATTTATAGCTAATAATTTTAAAATGTGGAATAAGCAATTTATTATTTTTACATAGGTAAGTTGATTCATTTAAATTTGCTGTATATTTATGTCAAATGAAATGTTATTACTATTATTTAACATAACTTTTCTACATTTTCCCCCAAGTTGTTTTGCCACCAAAAACTTAAAACTACAATTTCATGAGTTGTTAAGACATTATACCACTAATATATACTAATTGGTCAGTTTTACTTGTATTTCAACCTACAACATTTTTCCTTTGCATGTTATAGTTTACATAGGAACCACACATTTTTCATATAGTATTTTTTTAGTATACTTATCATTCATAAATAAATAAATTAAATAAAATTACTTTTGTTTCCGAGCGTCTCTCAGTAAATATTGACTGTAACTCAGGTCAACAAAACTTAACATAATATATAACAATAATATGGTTATTACACAAAAATATTCGAACGTTACAAATTTCTTAATAGTTCATTTATTCAAACCATTATGTTTTATTTTAATGTTGAATAATTATTTTCCGCTCAGTAAAATGTAAGGCTGTAGGTATATAGTGGATGGGTTTCAGTAAAACCATATGATTTGGTTATGATACCCATATATCAATGTCGTCTCCTGGCGTATCAGGCTTGAGTAATGTTATTGCAATAAATAAAGGTTTAGCATCGAGTTTCTAAGGAAACATGTTTTAGTTTAGTTCCCATGAACTATTTTATTCTCAATTTTTATCGGGTTTTGCTTATTGTTTAACATCTATTTTGTTTAATTCTTAAACATTTGTTTGGCAAAAATATTTTAGTTTGCAAAATACAACGAAATGAAGCTTCATGTTCTCAACTAAAAATGTGACCGCTGACCTAACGGTTGTTCCTATCCAACAACTACAGAGCCTACTGGAAGTAGAGCATACTCTATTTAAACAGGAACATATCCTAAGAAACACTCAGGTCTTTTTTTAGCTTTAGTCTGATAAAAAAACGGAACGTGTAAGTAAATTATATATCTCGTCTTTAACTTAAATTAAAACGCAATTTAATTTGTTATCAGATTATTGGTTTTTAAATCTTTAATTTCATTTATGGCTTTTACTAGGGAAGATGACGAATTTAGACCAAGACCCCACCTTCCTATAACCCCGGTCTGACAAAAAATCTTCGAAAAACAAACTTTACGTCAACTCTCACGAATAATTTAAGTGCGAAACACCGTCATGCCACTGAAGTGTATAGACGCTTAATTAGTACAGAGGTATATAAACTCTCCAAGATATACGTAGCAGCCCTCATATGTTGGGCCAAGGTTTGATATTGCCCAGGTGTAGACATTACTCTGAGCCCCACAATGAACAATGCCCGCGCCCCGCTCTGCTTACTACTGTGAATTATAAATTCCTCACTCGCGCTACACCCTTCTTGGGATAATGCTAGTAATAATTACTTTTGTGATGTGTGTTTTCTGGTAGAACCAGACGTAATTAACTACTATTTGAGAGTTAAAAATGTCAGTAGTTATGTTTGGATACACATAGTCAAAATCGCAAACTAAAAATAATACATCTTGGAATTTTAAATTTTAAAAATGTATTTATTTATTTCAATATTAAACTTTGTAATATTATTTAGGTCAAAGTCATAAACCTCTGAAAACTGAAAGTTATCCTCTAAATTTCCAACAAACAAAAAAAACTGAAAAAAAACTTACACAGAACTATATTACCGTCCCCATTACCTTCCTATTCTTGCCTTGACTAAATATCTGGCACTGTTCTGTGTCATAGATGGCGTAAATTATAATGTACATTAAGAATGAAAACAAAATTATCAAAAACATGTATTAACTGAACAAATTATTTTTCATGATTCATTCTTTCCAATACTTGACAGCAGAAACCTATAGCAAATTGTACGTCTTTTCCACGCAATTAGAAAAAGGAACATCACTAACCTAAGGTAACTGCAATAAATGCGTTGTTTAATTACAATATACGTTTCCATTAGTGACAATATATTGGTTTGTCAAGTTAAAAGTGATGGAGCCAATAGCGGCAGGCCAAGTGATGCACGGCCTCAATATCACAACATTGAGCCGAACATGTTACAAGTGATGGCTGTATATGGGGACTGATTTATGGTAGTCCTACGCATGTATTGTACATTGATAGATTTAAATTATAAGTTTTTTATTATAATTTTTGAACAATTTTTTTAACAGGTTCCCTGGCACCTGTCAACTGCCTATGTGTAGACTAGTGACACTTGGGAGTGACTTAGTTAAATCATATTTTAATGGGCTCAACATACGTATTTATTGTACATTCAGCTCACATTAATGATTAGGTATTCGACATATTCTGGCTCAAATACAAAAAAAAAACTCGAACTTTCGTCATGTAGTTTGAGTTTCAATTCCGAAATTTCGAATTTGTTCTAAGTATCTGTTTGGAAATTGGCTACCTCAACCTAAATCATTACTTTTAAACGTATACAATTTTGTGTGAATATAAAAGTTAAGTTTTATGCTTAGTTTGGTTCTATATGTATTTAGGGTTATTGTAAAGTTTAATGTTAAGTTTAAAATCTTTGGGCGAGTTGTGCTTGTTATGACTTTATTTTTTTTTAAGTATTACGTACCTGGTTTGAAAAATAATAATTGAAAGTACTCATTGTATCCGCGATAGTTCCTGAAAAGCTTATTAATTACAAAAGTATTAGATTTCTAGTTAATTTAACGGATAACACTCTTTCAACTTAAAATACCTGACCTATACAATGAACTGTTGATAAATTAATAATTTAACTAAAACCAGATGTTGTCCAGCGACTAATTTGACAAAAGGGTAGAGCATGTAAGCGAACAATATATTCCGGATAGGAACAGTTATATTAAGAGTATAAGATACAACTCGATAATGACAACTACGAAAAAAATTACACAGAAGTTATAATAACGCCATACCTAATCAATTAAAGAACTAAACTTTTACGTCTTGCTAAATTGAAATATATCACTAAAAGGTTAATTTGACAAATGAACAGTATTTCTGTACAGTAACAGTAACACGAGCCCAGGTGCGGTGAAGAGTTAGGCGACCACAATGTGTAATAAGCCGACCCTACACTTGGCCCTCATCATGAATTATAAACATTCATTCCACCCTGGCGCTGCTAACTGTATTTGTACTGTTACCTTGGGATGGGGGCGTGTACACCACAATTAATTATGTATTCTTATAGCCCATGAATGGTACATAAAAATAAAACAATATATTTCAAAGAAATTTTCAAAAATATCTCATATAAAATTAAAAGGGAAAATCTAACCATGAAAATGCTATTAATCTATATCTGAATTCCCTACTTTGTAAAATACTTAAGCTCTCAATAAAATAATACATTACCTCACTTGACACAAGTGTAAGGGATTTCCTCCCTTCTATATAGTACCACCACTAAAGTGTGATACTTTAGCTATGTGATTTTCACTATTGTGAACTTTTAGAATGGAAGAATTAGGATAGTGTTGGTTAAGTGGTTGTGCTTTTTTTTTACTTTCTTAAGAAGCGTTGAACAATTTGAACTTAAATTGAATAAGCTTCAATGAAACAAGCTCAACGGTTTTGGCTCATGAAGGTAGGCATAATCTTTCAGGAAATGGCATTGAAAGACGGCAGCCATGAAGTAAATTACCCACTTTATCGAAGGAACCATTTACCTTCTGCAGTATGGATGAAGATTTTATTGGGCTGAAAATTAAATCGGAGGTAGAACCGATAAAACAAAGCCGATATCGATATAAGAGTGAGCGGCTACAACTGTTACAGACAGGTTTCGCAGACCTCTTGCTAAGTAATGTTACCTTGTTGTACAAAAAACATATTATTACATCACCGTACGAAATTTTTTTTATGTTTTGCACATAGAAGTCAACTTAAGGAGTGTAGT